TATGCATTTAATCTTTGATTATTTTGCAAAGTTTATATGCTGATATGTAACTTTTTTTAAAATATTATTACAAAACAATAAATGAGTACAATCAAATGAATGCATTAATTTTACATTACAGCCTTGTGTTCAATAATCAATATTAACTGAGAACAGGTTGTTTAACCTGCTCATTTCTTCCTAGTTGCCATCATAACATAAAACACCATTAAAGATGGAAATCATCTGCCAAGTTAAGCAAGAGATAATTCTCCATCCATGGTTAGCTACAAAAACACTAAGCTAGCATGCCTATTAGCTTACTTTCTTCATGAAGCTAAACTATCAGCTGAACTTTTTCTAAAAAGTATAAAAAGTTTAGCTTTTTATTAGCAAATATCTACTGATAAATAGTTAGTTTTGAGAGAAAAGAAAACATTTTATAGGCATCTTACATACAACTGTTAGCATTAGATTGAGCTAAAATAAAGTCTATACTGTCTCTGAGTAAACTTAGAATGATCCAATCAGGAACCAGAAAAGAACTGTGTTGGTGCAGTTTGAGTTGAACTTTTAATACTACTACTACTACTACTACTAATAATAATAATAATAATAATAATAATAATAATAATAATAATGATGATGATATTGATAATAATAATAACTAGACAATGAAACTGTTTTTCACTAGGGTAAACTAATCCATAGAAAATCTGTAGGAAATAATTACTAATAACACTAACAAGGCTGGCAATGTTGTGTTATGTGCATAATTACATGCAACTCCACTCTTTTAGCTCGAAGGAAAGACTGCTACTAACAGCTGCAATGAAAACAACTTTACAGCTTCTCATAATATATTTTTCTTTTCAAGCCCTACATACTTTATGGAGAATGTGTCCCCCTCTGGCAGCTTAAACATATAAACTTTCTTTTGTGCTCACTATAGTGACACAAATGAGTCCAAATTATATGTTATCTTGTATAACATATCTTGATTTGGATCAGAAATCCTTGCCTTTTGACTCTCGCTCCAAAAAAAAAGTCAGGTATGTTTAACAGTCCTTCTAAATTCGGTCTCCTCTGCACTGTGAGCAGTATTTTGGGTATCAGCTGACTGTTAAGAGTAGTGAAAGGATATTTGTTCCTTGTCTTTAGTTCCCAAACACAGTACAGCCAACTGCAGTGACACTTCTTCAGCCACCAGGTGGTGTTTCCATTCCTTTCTTTGGGATTAAAGAGAAAAACATGGTAAGATGCAAAAATGTATAGACTCTCCAAGCACTGTCTGTGATGTGCTCACACAATTTGACAACACAAACGCTCTCACATGATTTTTGTTTGCCCATTATATGATAATAGGGTGTTTTATTATATATAGTACACATTTCTATCCACAGACATTAAAAATAATCACTCAGATTCTGAGTATTTCTTTAGTTTCTGAGGTCATATACGGTCAAATACACCCAGGTCCTACGTGCTCACTAGTTAGCACAATGCCAACTCAACACCACCACCAACAATGCCCTGTGGCTGTGTTTCACTGGTCAAGCTTGCCAGAGTCGTCATCCAAACAGTCTGAAATGTGCCCCAACGATATAGTACACCACAGTCAGCTGGTGTCCCCACAGCGTCAGTGGAGCATGAATAAGATGTTGATAACCAATCTACAACCAACAGCCAAAAGAGGTCTTTGGACACTGGACCTACATGGGATAAGGTTGCATGATTGGTATCAATTCATTCTGTGACTCATCTGTGACTCATCCTAGACGACATTGTCAAAGGTGTCACTTTCTCATGCATATTCATAAGTGTTAGCTAAATATTCATCCATAATATAGATAATGCTTTCTTTTATTGCACAGTTATTGTGTTTTGAAACTCTTATGTTGTACAAAGAAGTCCACTTCAATCCAATTTTATTCATATAGTGCTAATTCACAACAGTTGCCTCAAGGCGCTTAATATTGCAAGGTCAAAACCCTACAAAATTAGCGAGAAATCCACAACAATCAGATGATCCCCTATGAGAAAGCAATTGTGACAGTGGGAAGGAAGAACTCCCTTATAACAGGAAGAGACACCCAGCAGCACCTGGATTAGCCCTCTGCTCTAACAAGCTAGAAGGTAAGAGGAAAGAGAAGAGAAAAAAAGAAGAGCACAGAGAGACTAGAACAAAACAAAAACTATGGGAAATTATTAATTCATGTTAATTTTTGTTCTTTGTCAAAACAGAAACACCAGAGATGGCAGACTGGTTTGGTCCCTAGAGTCATCTTCTGTGTTTAAAGTTGAATTTGATGACAACATCCATCAGAGAATGAGGTTAGTATATGAGACAGCAGGGGCAACCAGTAACTTTGCACTATTGGTGACACGGTTAGCTCTCCTGGAGGAACTAGGACATCTCCTCAACCCCTCTTAGCTGGTATTGAATCATGTAATTAACAGCAGAATCCCTCAACAGACACCAGTGACACCACAGGTTGGTGTCACTGAGCTAACACTTCCCACTGCGCAGGTGGGAAAAGAATATATCTGTTACGGATCTAGGTAAAAACAAGGAAGCTACTGCACAAAGTTAAAAACAGTGTTTTGTTTGAAATGCATTTCCCCAAAATAGTTTCATACATGCATCACTTAAAATAGTCTTTGCATCATTTAATTAAGAGTGTTATCCATAGGCATTTTCCCCTATATGATAACAAAGATACTGTGTTTGTGTTATTTCCTGCAAGCAAATCTATTTCTTTTATTGTGAACAGCGATACTGCCTCTTAATGAGGTTGCCACATGCAACACTGACTGGGCCATCTAAATAATTTAGGGACTTGTTTCATCGGATACTAGGAACTTTAGACTTTGACGTATAGCTTACAGACTGGCTGTATGTGTAATTGATGAGATGATGAGTTGTACTTCAGCATGCAAGAGAAGTTGCATTGAATAGAAGTTGCTAAAGCATATCTCAGCTCGGCAAAATAATGCAACACAATCAAGGCTTTTGGCAAATACTTCTACTCCCACTGTTAAAAACACATGCTAGTTCCTTAATCTTTCAAGTAAATAGCCCTATTGTAATAACAACAGTGACTCAAAATTCAGGTCATCTTTGAAATCGCTCAAACTTAAATGGATTTGAAACGCAAGGCATTGCAAATATGGTTTGACATCATTTGGCAATTGCACGATGATGATAAAAGAAAATGCATGTGTGCCCCAGGACCAAATTGGGCGCAGCACCTTATTAATGATTAAAAGGCAGCATTCTTTCGGCTAGGATGGGCTGACATTTTGGTTACTTCCATGAAATCCTATCACTTGTTACACAGCAATATACCAATTACCCAAAGTTCACACAGTTTAAAGCACTTCCAGTAGATTTTTTATACAACCCTAACTTATGGTAACACTATGAAAATCTTAGAATTGTCTTTTTATTCACATTGTAGCAAACTTGATTATTATTTAGTGCAACATACTTTCTAAATTAAAACATACTTTCCAGTAGTGGTATTGAAGCTTTGCAGGCTATGTTAGGAAGATTAACTACAATAGAATGATCATGAACTATCTCATTCATTTGAAATGTTTTAGATCTTATATATATATATATAAAGAAGCTTAATACATATATCCTTTGTAGCAGTCAGAGCCTGTGTGGATTGGCAGACAGTGACGTCTCTCAGCGGTCCCTAGTTATAGTTACCAGTCTCGGGTTCAACACTCATGCACTATTCATTGGTGTATCACATCACTCCTGCCCAACTTTAGACTTAGACAAACCAAATTCTTTTCTGCGCAACTTTACTTTGTAGCCTTATTCTTTGTGCTGCGCAAATGTCTAAAATGTTTACGTAGTGTTTCTTCCATTTCCAGAGGAAAAAAAAGAGGAAAAAATAACAGCCTGCTTAGAGGAAGGACACAGGGGAATCATTCCTTCTGTATGGTATGTATGATCAGATTATTTGAAGTCCTTAGCAACACCAAGTTAAGTGAAAGATCAGCTGTACTGTGCAAATAACTTTGGCAATTAGGCCTCAGTGTTTTTTCCACAGTGTTTTTGCAATATACTTGAAAGACTGTTTCTTTGATGAGGAACCCTTTCGTGGCTTGGCAGATTAGATTCGGTTGAGTTAAAAAAAATTATGTTTCAGAGCTGCAAAAATATTCATTCTTTTAGTTATTCTAAACTTTCTAAGTGTGCATCTCATAAGAGTGCTTAAGTTGGTATTGGTTTGAGCAGTTTGAAGCATTAATGCTTGTTTTATACATTCAACAGAAAGTGTTGCAATATATTGCTTTGTTTTTCGATATCAGTGAAAACTGAAAATGGAAAAAAGCTAAATTCAAAACAGCAAGAAAAGGTGACAAATGCTAGTTAATTGACACCACAGAAATCCAATTTTCCTTATATATTTTTTAAAATCTCAGATAAATGAGGGAAAAATTGAATTTTCCAGTGTCCAAGTTGTTAATCATGTTTTTGTCCTTACGTTTTCTTTTATCCTGGCACCTGCCCCACAGTGTGCCACTTCCAAAATTAATTATTTTAAGTGTATTATTTTTCACAATGCATGTGAAATGTATCCCCTCCAATTCATGTATTAAGGTCAGCCAATCTAAATAATTGAAAAGGCCCTTTTAAAGGGTAATCCGGGGTGTGGTAGTATGGTGACACCCTTCTTCTTACATACCTTCTGTGCTGTGTTCTGTCCTTACACTTGCTTTTTGTTTGCTGTTTGTTTTAGCATTTAATTTAAACAGTCCTAATAATTTAGCCTCTATCTGCAGCACAGGCCAATAGTAAATTGCCACGGTTTATTCTGCTGTGGTTTTGCAGGTGTGTTACTGAAGAATGGGTTTGGTTGCTGCTTCTGGCAACAGAACACGCACAGAAAATATACAAAAAACAAAAAACACACAGACCATTAGTTCACTCATATTGATAAAAAGAAAAGTACAAAATTGTTATGAAATTTTTATTGTTTTATTTTTTTTCACAGAGCACTCGATGGTTGTCGTGAACCATGAAGCGCAGTAAGAACCGTGGACAAAAGGAGGACAGAAATGGAGGTATTGGCCATCATGGATGATTAGGTCAAAATAGCACAGACCAACTAACTCAAAACCCAGCAACCACTCAAAATGTATTAGTATCCTGAATATAAAATACAAAATATCAGCTTTTATATGCCAATCTTGTTAACATTTCAATAGCCTAATAGCTATTTGGATATTAGATAACTAATCCTGCACTGTTGCTTCTAATTGGTAGATGTATCATATCAAAAGGTCAGCAGGATGGGTTTCAAATTATGTTCTATGGTTTCATCTCTCTGTGTCCTCTTGGTGAAAACAGCTAGTATAATGTCGCTACTATTAATGGTGTAAGGCATTGGTATCAATCTGGGAAGGGTAGTATTTTGGCTTTATTTCCTGAAGTAAATACTGGACTGCCACTCTCACAGCAGTCAGGCTACCTGCTGTATTCTCTTTTGTCTCTGCTGGGAGAGGCTGAAGGTATTTCGGGGTCTTCTCTTGTAATGACATTTTTGGAATTAACGCTGCTACTAAAATAAAACGTTTTCCTCACTCTGTGTCTTTTATTTGATCTACAGATGAGCCAGCAATTTTGGAGACAGAGGACCTGGATCGCCAGGGCATGTTCATGGGTGGAGGCATGGACCCTGACACCATCTCACTGGCCTCAGTCACAGCTGTCACCACCAACGTGTCTAATAAGAGGCAAGAGTTCTGTAGTGCATGAACAGCAAGGACAGTACACACCCTGGATCTCTGTTCAAACTGCTGCCATCCTGCAAAACCATTCAGAACAATAAAAATGAGAACGAGTGGACTGCGGAACAGTTTATCCTAGCATTTGCATCCACTACTGAAGTTTCCACCTCACTACACACTTGACTATAAACACTTTACGCTAGCTAAGTTGTGTACAATGCCGCTGTGTTGGTGCTGCTAAGTTTATTTTTTATCTTTAGTTACTTACCTATTTGTATTAATTCTAATTATTTATTATTTTAATTTTAATTATACATTGTATAATGACAATGAAGCTAATTTATTTACATCCGTCTCACTCTACATTAACCCCGTTCACATTGCGATGCAGGTCAAAGCCAGACATCAAGATGGAGCCCAGCTCTGGAAGACCAGTAGACTATCAGGCAAGGGAAAGTTGTTATTGAGTGTATTTATGTTTTTATATGTAATGTAGTGCTTCTTATACAATAGCAGACAAACATTTGATTATTTAATTCCAGGTCAGTGTGACAGTGATTGAAGCCAGACAGCTGGTGGGCTTGAACATGGATCCAATGGTTTGCGTGGAGATCGGAGAAGATAAAAAGTACACCTCAATGAAGGAATCAACCAACTGCCCATATTACAACGAAGTGAGTCTTTCATTACATCATGTATAATAATTTATTAAAGTTTATTAAAAGGGCAACTGTGCAACATTGTCATTAAAACTCTTTCTGTATCTCCAGTATTTTGTGTTCGACTTCCACGTCCCTCCAGATGTTATGTTTGACAAAATCCTGAAAGTGTCTGTGAGTCGTCCCGTTCCTTATAGTTAAACGTAAAAGTCACTGATGGCAGTTCCTTTTCACAAGCGCACTAAATGCTGTGTTGTTTACTTCCCTAAACCAAACTATAGGTAGTGCACTCCAAAAATCTTCTGCGTAGTGGGACCTTGGTTGGAAGTTTTAAAATGGATGTAGGCACAATCTACTCCCAGCCTGGTAAAGAATTAATCGAGATCAGCTTTTTAAAAATATCACTACATTAATGATACAAACGCATTAATAAATATGTCTTCCTTGACTTATAGATCATCAGTTTTACCACAAATGGGCTCTCTTGTCTGACCCTGATGACATCACAGCTGGCTGTAAGGGCTACGTTAAATGTGATATTGCAGTTGTGGCTAAAGGGGACACTATAAAAACTCCACACAAGGCAAATGAATCTGAAGAAGATGACATAGAGGGGTAAATAAAACACAGATCAATTCTTTTTTTAACATTTGAAACTAGTGAAGAAAATATACTAACTCTCTATTTCAGGAATCTCTTATTACCTGAGGGGGTGCCTGCAGAGAGGCAGTGGGCTCGTTATTACTTGAAGATCTACAGAGCTGAGGGGCTTCCCAGAATGAACACCAGCATCATGGCGAATGTGAAAAAGGCCTTCATAGGAGAAAATAAGGACCTGGTTGATCCTTATGTCCAAGTACAGTTTGCTGGGCAGAAGGTGAGTGCTAACAAAGCTGCCATGCATTCGTTGCCCTATGTAGCATTTTTTTTTTCTCATCCAACTCAAAATCTAATTCTCACTGACATAACATAAGTTCACAATGTGTGATTGCTACAGGGGAAAACATCAGTTCAGAAGAGCTGCTATGAGCCTATCTGGAACGAGCAAATTGTTTTCACTGAGATGTTTCCACCACTCTGCAAACGTATAAAGATCCAGCTCCGAGATTCGGATAAAGTGAATGATGTTGCAATAGGAACGCACTTCTTAGACCTGCGCAAGCTTTCTAACGATGGGGACAAAGGTGATGCAACTTTAAATGTTTGAAGAAATATCTTCTCCACAAATTAACTGCAGAAGATTTTCTTTTGACATGTCAGTTAGTTTTGCTCTTGCAAATTATTAGATTAAAATCCCCCTTTTCTCTTTGTTTTTCAGGCTTCCTTCCGACTCTTGGGCCTGCTTGGGTGAACATGTATGGCTCCACTCGTACCTACACCCTGATGGACGAATACCAGGAGTTAAATGATGGACTTGGAGAGGGCGTGTCCTTCAGAGCCCGTCTGCTCATCAGCCTTGGCATGGAGCTCCTGGACACCTCCTCCCCTGAAATTACCAGCTCCACAGACGTGCAGATGGAGGGAATACCCAACATCTCAGAGGTGAATGCCTGACTGGATGGGCAGCCATGCAGATGGAGCCAACTGTTTCTCCTACTGATGGGTTATGTGCCTGCAATTACTGTGAATTATTAATAGTACCTGGTGTATTATTAATAGCTGTTTGCATCAATGTGGCTAAACTCAGTGGCATCCCTCATAATATGGGATAAATTGTTTGTTGTCAATATGTAATGAATTACAGTGCTTTAACCTTTTTTTTGTTTTACATTGACGCCACCTTTATATAAGTCTTTTTCATTTACAGATGATTATACTTGTCCATTTCTTGTTTTCACAGACTGCCACTGGAAAGGTTGAGGAATTTTTCCTCTTCAGTTCCTTCCTGGAGGCCACAATGGTTGATAGAAAGATTGGTGATAAGCCCATACACTTTGAGGTCACCATAGGTACTTTCCATCACCTCGTTGTCAGTTTTAGTGTTTAGCAGACTTTTTGACCTTTATTAAATATCTTTACACTGTTTTATCCATTACTATATTAGAATAATAGCTGTGTTGCTGTAGTTTTTAAAAAATATAGAATCATATATATATATACTATTATTGCTGGATATGTAGTAAGTACCGCATCTTTTATGGTTTAACTGTTAACATCATGGTTGTTGCCAGGTTATTATGGAAATGAGAACGATGGAGTTGTCAAACCAAAAACAAAGGGGAAGAAGGGCAATGGAGACGAAGAGGAAACTGAACTGATCAACAATTCCAGTGAAGAGGAGATGGACGACGATGGAGACCTGCAGTCAGTGGCAACAACCCCACCCATGAAACCTGTCATCACAGACCGGTCAGAGCAATAATATCACATACAATACAAAAGTTTTTAGTTCTTGCTTTGATTTAAAAGATTGTAAAAACAGTTTAGAAGTATTGATTTAGGTATTTTAAAAAACAACATGTTAGATACGTTCTAATTTTAATCCACAGAAACTATTTCCATCTGCCATATTTTGAGAGGAAGCCGTGCATTTACATCAAGAGCTGGTGGCAAGACCAGAGAAGGAGGCTGTATAATGCCAACATCATTGACAACATTGCTGATAAACTGGCAAGCCATGCATTAACTTAAAGCTAAGTTTGTCTAAGTCAACGCCAACATAATTGAAATCATTATCGTTATGTTGCTTTCATAGGAGGATGGACTGAATGATGTGCAAGAGATCATTAAAACAGAGAAGGCCTATCCCGAGCGCAGGCTTAGAGGTGTTCTTGAGGAACTCAGCCAAGGATGCAGGTCCGTGGTTACAAACCTAAGCTGCACATTAAGTGTTTTTAATCATTGTAAACATTTGCACTCACCAAACCTTAACTCTTTCAGTCAGTTTCTTTCATTGGCAAACAAGGACCAGAGTCAGTCGGGCAGAACCAAACTTGACAAGGAGAGACTGAAGCTGTGCTTGTCGGAAGTGGTACGTAAACTCAAAAGAGTAATCTTTATTGTTCCCACCTATTGATTATACTTGTACTGTGCTAACTGCTGAACCTCTTCCTCATTTTAGGAAGCCATTGGTCAGCAAGCTAAGACCATGAGGTCACAGGTGAAAAAAAGCACAGTGAGAGATAAGCTGAAGCTGGCTCAGAACTTCCTGTCGAAGCTGCGCTTTCTGGCTGAGGAAGTGAGATCTATGTCTATGTCTTTATTTACAAATAATCTTTTTTTGTGCATTTGTATGTTCTATAGTGGTTATTCAGTAACATATTTAAATGAGGACTCATTCTTATTGCAGCCTCAACACAGCGTTCCAGATGTTTTCATATGGATGATAAGCAATGGAAAGCGTATTGCTTATGCACGTGTCCCCTCCAAGGACATCCTTTATTCCAGCATATACGAGGAGAAGGGAAAAGACTGTGGGAAAGTCAAAACAATCTTTCTCAGGGCGAGTACCTAATCTATTCTGATACAAACTCCCAGTCTATAATGAAACTTTTCCTTATCTGTATTCTGTGTTCTTCAGTAGCTAAAGTGTTTTGTATTTTCCTCTTATAAAGATCCCTGGTAAAAAGGGCTTTGGACCAGCTGGGTGGACAGTGCAATCCAAGATAGAGATTTATCTGTGGCTGGGTCTGAGCAGGCAGCGCAAAGACTACCTGAGTGGCTTACCTAATGGATTTGAGGAAAATAAGTTGTCCAGAGGACCCGGCTTGCCAGCCTCACCACCCATCAGCCTCACCTACATGAGTAAGGCCATTTTGCAGCTCACCTTACACCAGCTTTTCTCATAACAGATATCTACCATTCACACTGTGGCTAAAGGAACAAATTATGCCCATTCACAGCTGTGTAAATTTATTCTTCAACTTGACTAGATTAGCTTTGTGAGAATCTCAGTTCAAAATTATCCTTTACCATATAGTTATATTTAGTCTTTTTATGGCCTTCCTCGCTTTAAACCAGCTTTCTTCTGATTGGCTGCAGGTGGGTGGACATGCTATGCTCACAAAATAGACTCTGTTTAGATTGTCATAGTCACTATGCTGTCACCCACTGGATAGTGAGGTCCTGTCATGAAGCCTTAGACAGATTTGTATCTTGGAGTAAAACTGGTCTTTATGAGTGAGAAGTGGATTTGACTGACATTAATCACCCATTCAATAGAAACTCATCAATCACAAAGTTTTCATTTCTTTAAGGTGGCCTTTATTGTCTTTCTGAACCTTAATAGTAACAAACAATCACACATAATTTCCAAACCATAATGGCACCTCCTGCTGGTCATTAGAGGGATTTGCTACTTGGCTTCACTTTTTACACCTGGAAGCTGCAACCTGTCTTTTATATGGAGTGCATGGCAAAAAAAGAAAAAGTATATCTCTAAATCTAACGTAGGCAAGAATTACATATACTGTTATATACTTCTATAGTCACTTATGAGATTTTACTTCTCTGTAGTGAAACAAATCTTCCAGCTGAGGGTCCACATGTACCAGGCTCGCAGCCTGTTCGCCGCTGACAGCACAGGTCTGTCCGATCCATTTGCAAGAGTTTTCTTCTCATCGCAAAGCCAAGTCACTGAGGTGGGCAAGCTCAAAAGTTGTTTTTTTTTAATGAGATCACCTGTTAGCATGAAATTTTATGTACTTGAGAACCTGTTCTCGATCACTCTAAACGTTTTGTCTTCTTGCAGGTGCTGGCTGAGACCCTCTGCCCCACGTGGGATCAGCTGCTGGTTTTTGAGAATGTGGAGTTGTTTGGGGAGGCCAGTGAACTGAGAGATGACCCTCCTATTATTGTCATTGAGCTCTATGATCAAGACACAGTGGTAAGAGTTGTTTTGATATACAGAGGCCTCTCTGTTTATAATAATGTGGGCAAAACCTCGACAGCAGTCTTACCATGATCCTTCATCTTTATATGTTGAAATGTATGACTAACCGAGTCACGAGAGACTAAAAGTAGCATGTGGTATACCCGCAATATTTTTATTTTTATGATTATTTTTTTTCGCATTAATGGTTGGGTTGATTTCATTGAGTTTGTCTTTGTCTCCATAGCAACCTGACATGAATTATATCTGAAGGAATTTGTTTGCTGACTGACTATTTTATATTATCTCCTGACAAAAACACCATTGTTTTGGATGACCCTTTGGATAAGTAGAGTGTGGATTGGCTTGATGTACTGTAGCAGCACTGTCATGTGTGCAGAGTAGATTCCTTTGAAAGGCATGCAAGAGGAATAAGATATGTCCATAAGGACCTGATGGACCCTCGTGATTAACTTATCCCTGTTGCATTCCTTTAAGTAAAACTTGTGCTTTTGTATGTGACCAACAGGATTTTTGACTTTTTATAACCACTAACTGCAAGAAAGATTAAGTTGCTTTTGTTCTTTTTTTTTTTTTTTTTTAGAAACAATGATTAGATATTCACTCATTTTCTGAATGTGCATAAATGCATATCTGTTTTGCAGTTCACTGGTTATTTTAGGGATCTTTCATTGTTTACTTTGTCTTTTATCTTCAGTCCTTTTTATCTAGTGTGAAACATGTGCACCTTGAGCCATGTTTCTTCCTGCTAATAGGACTACTTACTTCACAATCAGCTCTCTAATTGCTTTTTTAAATGCACTCATTGTAATATAAACACTAATACGGTAAGCCAAGGAGAGCATTTTTAAAAATAATCAGATTTTTCACTGCGTCTGGTCCTTTGCTTTCAGGGTAAAGCTGACTTCATGGGCAGAACCTTTGCTAAGCCTGTGGTCAAAATGGCCGATGAGCACTACGGTCCCCCACGTTTTCCTCCCCAACTGGAGTACTATCAGATCTACCGTGGAAACTGCACTGCTGGAGAAATGCTGGCAGCCTTTGAACTGCTGCAGGTTAGCTTTCCAAAGTACATACACCATCAACCCGTGAGCTTATGCTTCAATCACTTCATTTGCTTCATATTTCTTTATATCGTCCTTTAGATTGGCCCCAATGGAAAAGCTGACCTACCTCCCATAGATGGTCCTACAGATATAGACCGTGGCCCAATCCTCCCAGTACCACTGGGGATCAGACCAGTGCTCAGCAAGTACAGGATTGAAGTAAAGACTTCAGAATAGCTTTGACGTCATCTGTTAACTGACGGACATTCACTGAAAGAAAGTAAAACATCTGTAATGTCAGCTAACCTTTCTTTTCTTTAGGTTTTGTTCTGGGGCTTGAGGGACCTGAAGAGGGTGAATCTCGCCCAGGTGGACCGGCCTCGTGTGGACATTGAATGTGCTGGAAAGGGAGTTCAGTCTGCCCTCATCTCCAACTACAGGAAAAACCCCAACTTCAGCACTCTTGTCAAGTGGTTTGAAGTGGTACCGTACTGGCACTATTGATATATTTTTCCGTCAATGCATTTACGTTCAAACATAGAACTGAAGCTTGGGTTGACTCATGTCAGCCACCACACCTGCTCTGCAAGAACTCACTCTGGATTTTGTGTGTCAGGACTTGCCTGAAAATGAGTTGCTTCACCCGCCGCTGAACATCCGAGTAGTGGACTGTAGAGCTTTTGGCCGCTACACTTTGGTTGGCTCTCATGCTGTCACCACTCTGCGGAAGTTCATCTACAGGGGAGCTGACAAGCAAGCCAACAACTGGTCCACTACAGGTATCAAATAACAGAAATATACGTTTGCGCCACACAGTATTGTCTGACAGTTTGTGATGAAGATTTTTTTTTTTCTTTCAGAGGAAATTATTGTTGTCAGCATGGATTCTGAGCCTTCTTTTAAGAAAGTGGAAACTGTTGTCAAACTTGACTGTGTAAGTGCAACTTTTGAAAATTTGAAAATTATAGAGATAAAAAATACAAAGTAAACACAATCTGGTGTTCCTTTATAGGGCTCTGATGCTGTGGTCAAAGTTGAGGTAAGTAGAGATCTGTGCTTGCTTGATTTATAAATCAAACTGCATTATTTTATTTCACAGTGAATCAAGATGTCTCAAAGCCTTAATCAAAAGATCTGTGTTACTTTTATACAAAGGATGATGACAAGGATGGCAAAGGGAAGAAAAAGAAGAGGAAGAAGGGGGATGAGATGGAGGAAGAGGAACTTGATGAGAGCATGCTGGACTGGTGGTCCAAATATTTTGCTTCCATTGAAACTTTGACAGAGGTAACAAGCCTTCTTTTGACTGATTATATAATGTTAACAATGTTGCAAAGTATGATGATGCAGTACTACACAAATGTTTTGAGTTGTGTCTCATTTCTTTATGTTTTGCTTACTGACTGTCTTTTAAATTTTTTTAAAGTGTTCTTGAGCAATAGTGCTCCAGGATTTCTGAGGGACTTTCAGAGTTTTTCTCTGGATATTGGCTGCTTTTTCACTTATTTAGAGTCCAGTTCTTCTACGTGACCATTTTCCGAGAAACTGCTTTTTCTTTATTTAGTATCAATGACCTATATAAACATAAAGTGTTTTGAACGAAAAAGGCGTTTCCCAAAGAGTTATTAGCCAAAAACTTTGCATATATCGCCATTATGTGCAATGTGTCCTTTAAAAAATTAAAGAAAGTGGTAAAAGTGGAGGACAAAATCAAAAGCAGCAGGCCTAAAAACTATCGTCATATCATTAAGAAGTAGGAAAAAAGGCCAGCAAGAAATCACACAGAATCTGGGAGATGCATCTCCTTAGGTCTATCTATCTACTGCTCATTCAAGCCTCATCAGAAATGCTCTCGGTGGAAGGATGGCTGTCAAGAAGCCATTCTTAAGGAAGAGAAACAGGGAGAAAAGGCTGCGGTGCACCAAATAACACAAGACCTGAGCTGAAAATCAGTAATAATATGTCTAATAGGGTTATGAATTCTAATTTGAAGCTTTTGGTTCAAATCATTGTCAGTATGGATGAAGGAGATTGGGAGAGAGGTACAACACTGAGACACTATCAGTCATGGACTGGCCTTCCCGGACCTCAACATTACTGATGCATTGTGGGATAATCTTTGCAAAGAATGGAACAAAAAGGCAGTCAACATCCAGAGAAGAGCTTTGAATGTCCTACATAAATCCAGGAGAACTATTCCTGAAAATGATTTAAAGAAATAACAAGAAATCTTGCCTAAGAGAGCTTTGGCTGTGTTGAAGAATAAAGGTGATCGTACCAAATATTAACTTTCAAGCTCATTCAATCTTTACAAACAGTTCTTTCTTTATATACAACATTTCTGTATTTGTTTTCATGTTTCAGTAAATCATTGCAACTATTTTCAAATTTCCTTTCAAAATAAAGGGCAGCTAAAGACTTTTGCACAGTGCTGTAGATTGAATTTTTCTTCAAGACTTTATTTAGACTTAATGGATCTTAACCTTGATACTATAGCTGATAAATAGGAGGTTATGTTTGGTCTAGACAGTTAAGAAATAGAGCTTTACTCTTTCAGTCACTCAAGGCTCAAGAGGCAGCTCTCTCAGACTCAGAGGACAAAGATGACATGGACATTGCAGATGGTGGAGGTAAAAAAAAAAAAAAGAAACCTTAAATTTCTTCTTTTTTGTCATCAGTTTTAAAATCCACTAATTGCATCTCCATATGTTTTTGTGTTTGCTGAATATTGTTTTTATGTGCTTTAATAAAAATCTGTGATGTTCATAGTTTGACACGTGTGCCTAAGTTTAAAATTCATCCTTTATTAGCTCACTAACTCTGTTGTTTTGTTCTACAGTGCAGTAGTGAACCTCATAGCCTTCATAGCCCAAGAATGCCTCCATGTAGATGCTGACATGAATCCAAATTTCCATTCGTAGGACAATTGCTTGTTTTCTTCTCCCATACATGCATATTTGTCATATGCTAGCCATGAAAGTTGTCAATAACAAGACAGTGACTAAAAACACAAAGATGATGGAGCATGGCACACAATAAAGAATCAGCTAATACCTACAGCTTACCTGGAGGATCCCGTCACAATACCAAGCATTCTCACTGAACTCTTTACTTCAGGAGTTCAATAGCATGCTTGCTTTGTACCGTAATGGCAACTTTCATGTGGAATTCATGTCTCGAGCGCTCTGCTCCTTCTCCCTGTCCCTGTGTCCTCACCACTAACCTGTACTCAGATATCAAACCTGATGACTCTCCTGTGAAAGGCACAAAGAAGGGAAAAGGAAAGAAAGATAAGAAGAAACCAGCAGTCGACCCTTATGAGAAGAAAAAGCCAAAGCTGGATGAGCTGAAGGTATACAGTTGTGACTGCGACATACAGACACGGTCTTAGAAAACAAGTCATTCCAAACCTAATTTATGTGTTTATATATACACTTATCCGTGTTCAGGTGTATCCTAAGGAACTGGAAAGCGACTTTGGTAACTTTGAGGACTGGCTGCACAGTTTTAACCTGTACAGGGGAAAAGCCGGTGATGATGATGATCAGAATGTGACAGATGAAGATAGGATTGTTGGAAAATTCAAAGTAAGAAATTGTCTCTTCTTTTTCATTGATAATGAAAGTCAAAGCTCTTTAAATAATTCTTTCATATTTTCCTCTGAATGCCCTTTCATTTGTTTCGCTGTGTCAATTCAGGGTTCGCTGTGCATGTACAAAGTGTCGGATGATATGCCAAGAGACATGAACTTTGATTCCAACATGGGAATGTTTAATAACATTCCTAGCAATGATCCCATTAACGTCCTTGTTCGGATCTATGTCATCAGGGTAAGCTATGTGCTCTGCTGTGAATATTTAATATTTAGCTCCTTTGAGTGCTCATAGTCAGGTTCATACCAAGGGTGCTAGCTTGTGGATGGTTCTGAGCTCTGTTAGCTTTAGCCACTTGGCCTTTGAGAGTTTCTTTCAAATACCCACCCACATTTGGAAATGTTTAAGGCTGACTGGCTGGTTACCAGTCATAGCCGAGAATGCTAGACTTACTGATTATTATCATACTCAAATTTATCCAATTTTTTCCGTAGGCAACTGATCTGCATCCAGCAGACATAAACGGTAAAGCCGACCCCTACATTGCAATAAGACTTGGAAAAACAGAGATAAAAGACAAAGAGAACTACATCTCAAAACAGCTGAACCCACTGTTTGGCAAGTAAGTAATTTTACAGCATCGTGGCCTTATCTATACAATCTTACAAGTTTTTATTTTTTGTGAATATATTGAATTTTAATTAAAACCTCAAAAAGAAAATCTGTCTCTTATTAGATCTTTTGATGTGGATGCCACATTCCCAATGGATTCCACATTAACTGTGTCAATTTATGACTGGGACTTGGTGGGAACTGATGATCTCATTGGAGAAACCAAAATTGACCTCGAGAACCGTTTCTACAGCAAACACAGAGCCACGTGTGGTATCACACGCGCCTACGCAATGTAAGGATCACACAATCTGTTTGACTCAAGTAGCATTAGCCAACATGAAAGCAAAAACAAAAAAGAAACAGTACTTTAATTTGTTCATTTTTAATAGATGCACTGCTCTTCACCACAAACTTTACTACAAATTCAATCAAATGAAAGCGTTCAGCTAGCTAACATTATAGCTCACAGCCACCATTAATAGTTAACCTGTTGCTAGTCTGTCTCCATAGATATCAAGAAAAACCTAGTTCCTGTTGTACTTAAAACTGCTTATGATAAAGTTTGGAGTAAAGACATCATGATTTCTCGAGAAGCCCAACTGGGTAACAAGGCAATTAAATTCATCTCCAGAACTGGGCAACTTACATCAAATCAGTCTGGATCAGGGGTGTCACAAGCCAAGGCTCGGGGCCCAGAATTGGCCTGGCAAAGGCTCCTAATCTGGGCCACTGGATGGGTTTGTAAAATGTGAAGGAGGCATACATTTCGTACTTTTACTTTACATTTTACAGCCTTTTCTGCTGATAAAGACATCCACATGGCCAGTTGTACTT